CCCCCCCCCCCCCCCCCCCCGCCTCGCCGCGGCCCCCGTCCCCCCTCGCGCTGCGCCCCTCTGCTTCCCCTCCCTTCTGGGAAAAGGGAAGCCCTCCGCCGTGGCCACGCCCCCTTGCGTACTTCCACGTAGGCCACGCCCTTCCTCTGGCAGCTTCCACCGCCCGCTTCCTCTTGCCGGGCCCTTTAGTCCTGGGGTTTCCTTGGTCTGAGCATCTTCCGCTTCTCCGCGGCCCCTCTCTCCAGGCGACCTCTGCCCTTGAACTTGGGAAAGGGGAGGGGGGATCTCGACCCCGCACCTACCTGGAATCTTTCTCACCTTCCCTTCCCACCCTGGTCCCGTTCCTTCATCTCAGCCTGGTCCCCAGCTTCTGCCCAGAGCCCTCACCCGTGGGACTCTCAGAGCTGGCCGAATCCTCCCGCGCCTGTCTGAAGCACACCTGTCCGTACAGCTCCCCGCACTTGCCWGGGGCTCGAACTCAGGGCCTCGCGCGTGCCCACTGGCTCTCCACCACAGCCACATCCCCTGGCTCTCCCCACACGTTCTAACCTCACATTCTTCAACCCCTGCCTGACAGCCACCTTCCTCACCTGTCCCTTGCACAACTGGTCCACCCAACCCACCTGCCGTCATTTGAACTTGACCTTGCCTGTCCTTCTATGATACCTACCATCTCTGGCATCACCTCCCTTCCTAGAGACTCCGCCAGCTACAAAATTTCAACACACTGATGGCGGTCACAGGGGGTCTGTGTCATAGTGCCATCTCCAGACTCAAGGACTCCCAGGCCCACCTGAGCCCTGACAGCACCAAGGTGAGCTCCCAGATTCCAAGTGATCACCATCAGTCCCTTCCCAGGGGCTCTGGGACCACCTGAGGAACTGGCTGCCCCAAAGCCTGAGCCCCCAGGCCATCTGCATTCTTCCTCAGTGACCAGCATATATAGCAGTGATCCTCTCTGTCCTCCACGGATCTAGTCCTAAGATGGGCTGTGAGGGAGGCCGGTGAGAGAGATGCTAACGGAGAACCAGCAGTCCAGGTGGCAAGCTGTCCCACATCCAAGATAATCAACATTTGTGCCACCCAAGGGAGGAACATGGGGGGGTGGTTGGGAAGTGTCCAGGAAGAGTCAGTCATTCATGCATCCGGTGTGTGGCTAAGGGCAGGTAAATAGGCTGGATATGCCCAGGGAAGATTCTGTTGAACCCTGAAAGCTCAAGTTAAGGTGTTTGAGCTTCATCCAAAGGGCACTGGRGAGCTAGGGCAGGTTTGAGAGTGATGCCAGTACCCATGATCAGATTCAATTTTGTGAGACCTCATTCTAACTTGGGGAATGGGGTGATAGTAGAGCCTCTCTGAGTTGGAGACCCAAGAGGAAAAGCAGTTTGGGGAAATACTGAGGCCAGTGTGGGATACAGAAGGGGCTCAGGAGGTTTTGAAAGGGTCCCTGGGGGTCTGGAGCCTAGAGGGGCTCAGGGAACATACTGGCTCTTCCCGATGACGTGTTCCTCCCACCCAGGCCCTGCTGGAGCTGACAGAGCTTCTCGGCTCCCACAACAACTACGCCCGCTACCGCCGCACCTGGGCTGGCTGCAGCGGCTTCCGGCTGCCTGTTCTGGGTGTGCACCTCAAGGACCTGGTGTCCCTGCACGAGGCACATCCTGACCGGTTACCAGATGGCCGCCTGCATCTGCCCAAGTTGAACAGCCTCTACCTGCGGCTGCAGGAGTTGGCAGCCCTCCAGGGACAGCATCCCCCCTGCAGCGCCAACGAGGACCTGCTGCATCTGCTCACCGTGAGCTTCCCTGCGCCGCCCAGTGTGGGCCCCAAGAGGCTGGGCCTGGGGGTACTGAGATTGAGGGTCCTGGGCCTGTAAGGCTCTGCAGGACCAGACAGTGCTGTGTGACAYTGGGCAGGTTACTTAACCCCTTAGTTTCAGTTTCCTTATCTAGAGAGTGGGAATAATAGGACCCACTTCAGAGGGTACTTGAGAATTGACTAATAAATGATTAATATAAAGTACTTAAAACAGAATCTGGAGCCGGCTGCAGTGGCACATGCCTGTCATCCCAGCAGCCCCAAACACTGAGGCAGGAGGAGCACAAGTTCAAAACCCAACCCCAGCAAAAAACAAGGCACTAAGCCACTCAGTGAGACCCTGTCTCTAAATGAAAAAATAAAAAATAGGGCTGGGGATGTGGCTCAGTGGTTGAGTGTCCCTGAGTTCAATCCACAGTGCCAAAAAACAACAACAACAACAACACCCCAGCAAAAAACAAGGCACTAAGCCACTCAGTGAGACCCTGTCTCTAAATGAAAAAATAAAAAATAGGGCTGGGGATGTGGCTCAGTGGTTGAGTGTCCCTGAGTTCAATCCACAGTGCCAAAAAACAACAACAACAACAACAACAACAGACTCAGGAATACAGGAGTACAGTGAGCTCTATGTATGTGAGGCCATTTTTCCCTGGATTCCTCTGATTCAAGTGTCCACTGACCTGAGCTCCAGGACTGCTCTGGGCTTTTGTACTCCTGACCCAAGGATCTGGACACTAGTTCACAATTTCAGGCCTTGACATAATCAGAATCTAGGCAAAACGTTAACCGTGTTGATCACTTGCTYTGTGCCAGTTGTCACTTCAGGATACCTCACAACCCTATGAGGTGGGAACCCTTACTGCACCCATTCTGTGGACTGGGAAACTGAKGCCCAGAGATACCCTGCATACTTTGGATTCAATCCCCAGTATGACCCTGCCACACCCACCCCCCAAAAAGAGACAGAAGGTGACAGCAGGACATTAAACCATGAAACAAAGCAGGGACCCTTGGAAGCAAGGGCCTGCACAGGTCACTGGCTTGTGAAGCCTGCCCTGCCCTAAGATGACTGGTGCCTGAGACCCTGTTCTTTCTTTATTCTTTTTTTTTTTTTTTTTTTGGTGGAGGGTGGTACCAGAGATTGAACTCGGGGGCACTGCACCACTGAGCCAATCCCCAGCCCTATTTTATATTTTATTTAGAGACAGGGTCTCACTGAGTTGCTTAATGCCTTGCCTTTGCTGAGGCTGGCTTTGGACTCTGATCCTCCTGCCTCAGCCTCCCTAGCCACTGGGTCATAGGCWTGCGCCCAAACTGAGAGCCCTTTCTTTGCTGGTTGTGAAAGGCCATCCCTCAGCCCCAGTATTTACTGAGCACCTGCTGGGMGCCAGGCCCAGCTTCRGGCACCCGGAACATGGCGGAGGGCAAGTCAGCAAACACAGTGGCCTTCTGAGGGGCAGACATTCTGGGGGCCACAAGCCACTCCAGCCAAGTCGGGAAGTCTCTCCGCCTCTAGATGACAAGTGCCACAGAGAAGAGAGAAGGCAAAAAGGGCGCGGAGGGAGATGGGACTGGGTCTTTAATAAGGACATCAGGAGAGTGGGAGGGCTGGGCAGGTCTGGGGTCTCCCGAAGAGGCAGGCATGTGGGCTGAGGTTGGGGGACAGTGACAGGAGGCTCTGTCCCACCGCACCCACCCACCCCAGCTCTCCCTGGATCTCTTCTACACGGAGGACGAGATCTACGAGCTGTCCTACGCCCGGGAGCCCCGCTGTCCCAAGAGCCTGGTGAGACCTAACCCCTGACCTCTGACCCCTGCCCGAGCCTATGAAGKGTCTCACTGTGTGCCTCTGTCCCCCTCCAGCCGCCCTCTCCCTTCAAAGCACCTGTGGTGGTCGAGTGGACCACTGGTGTGACACCCAAGCCCGACAGGGTCACCCTGGGTCGACACGTGGAACAGCTGGTGGAGGTGAGGAGGGACTGGGCCCCCGCAGGTGGGTGCCCGGAGGGGACTCCCGTATAGTCCTGCGTGTGCGGGAGGGAATCCAGGACCCTGGGGCTGGGCCTCATCCCCTGACTCACCCTGTCCCTCCCTTGCTCCCCCAAAGTCCGTGTTCAAGAACTACGACCCTGAAGGCCGCGGCACCATCTCGCAGGAGGACTTTGAACGGCTGTCGGGCAACTTCCCCTTCGCCTGCCACGGGCTGCACCCGACCCCCCGCCAGGGGTAAGTGCCCTGACTCCTGGGGCCCCCAGAGCAGAGGACTCTGGGGTTGCTAGGACTGGGGGCCTGGGGAGGAAGGGACAGTCTGCTGAGGTGTCGTCTCCACCCCCAGGCGTGGCTCCTTCAGCAGAGAGGAGCTGACGGGGTACCTGCTGCACGCCAGCGCCATCTGCTCCAAGCTGGGCCTGGCCTTCCTGCACACCTTCCACGAGGTCACCCTGCGCAAGCCCACCTTCTGTGACAACTGCAGCGGCTTTGTAAGTACTCTGTCCTGTTGGCACCCCTAGGGCCCATCTACCCTGGAGCATCCGGGCTGGGACTTGAGAGCTGGCCCTGCCTTGGAGGGTGAAGGGTCCCCACAATCAGATAATCCCGATTCCAGAAAACTCCCACTAAATAMTAAATAAACTAAATACTAAATGCTCCAGTCGGAATAATCTCCAAATTCTAGATAATGCCCAAATCCAGATAACCCCCAAATCCTGTGTAATCTCTACCCTGGACAACCACCAAACCCCGGATAATACCTAAAGCCCTGGTAATCTCCAGAACAAACCTGGGTGGATCGTGTCCAAACAGAATCCATCTCCAGATCTCTAGACTCCACACCATCCAAGGTCTGGACAATTTCCAAATTGAGAGCCTCCTCAAACTCTTGATGGAGGACCGATCTCTCGGTCTCCAAACTGAGACTTACTTCACAAACCTTGGGTCACCTCCCAAATTCACCAGCCACAGTCTGTACGGAGCACCTTCCCTGTGACAAGCCATGCCAGGCCTGGGGACATCTCAGGAACAATAGATACGGTCCCTGCCCGTAGAACATGCACTCCACAGTTCACTGAATTCTAGTATCCTGCTCGGCTCCCCAACTTCAGGTAGCTGCAGGTTCCTTTAATTCCAGTTAAATTCTCAAATTCTTGAAAATTTTTCAAACCTGGTGACTTGCACAGTTCCATCCTGTCCCTTCAGCACACGCCCTCCAGCCTGTCATCTGAACCAGCTCTGCTTTCTCTTCCAGCTCTGGGGTGTCACCAAGCAAGGCTACCGCTGCCGGGGTGAGTGGGGCGCCCTCCAGCGGGAGGGTGCTGGGACCCACAGACTGGAGCATGGAGGGTACTAACCACTCCCGTCCCCCAGACTGTGGCCTCTGCTGCCACAAACACTGCAGGGACCAAGTGAAGGTGGAATGTAAGAAAAGACCAGGGCCCAAGGGTGACGCGGGACCCCCAGGAGCCCCTGTCCCACCCACACCACCTCCTCATGCCAGCTCTGGTAAGTCCCAGGGCATGGCAGTGCTGGGAAGGGGGCTGGTGGATGGGGTTCATTTCCAAGGTCATGGGTCTTTCCCCTCATGCCAACGTCCCTTCCACCGTCACTCCACAAACAGACGCTGAGGAGAGTCTGTCCTACACACTCTCCCTGGAACCTGAGACTGGGTACCACCTTTGCCATGCTTGGACCCAGACAGAGTCCCCACACCCTTCCTGGGAACCAGAGACGGTAAGCAGGAACTGCGCTCTGCCCCAGCTGGCCATCTGGGAGAGACCAGACAGGTCTGGGGACTCACAGGAAAGTGAAAATATGCAAAAGTCCCCCATTGCTTGGTGGGAGGGGATGGATACTGGCTAATTTATAATGTTGACAGGAAAACAGAAGTTTCAATATGTTTGGGGGGAGGAGTAACCACTAGAACAGAAAAAGGGTTTAGAGAGAGCGAAAAACAAAAACAAAAACACTAAGATGGCAAGAATAATGCTGGGCACGGTGGCGCACGCCTGTAATCTCAGCAGCTTGGGAGGCTGAGGCAGGAGGATCGAGAGTTCAGAGCCAGCCTCAGTAATTTAGGAGGCCTTAAGCAACTCAGTGAGACCCTGTCTCTAAATAAACTATATAAAAGGACTGGGGATGTGGCTCAGTGGTTAAGTGCCCCTAAGTGTTCAATTCCTGATACAAAAAAAAAAAGAAGAAAGTCAAATGTATCAGGAGCTACAATAAATATCAGTGGAGTAAATTCCACTCTTTAAAAGCAGAGACTCTTATATCAGGTTTAGGGAAAAAAAAAACCACCAAACATCCACAAAACCCAGGGTCCATTCCTTCATCGCTGAGCCGGTCTGGGGGAGACCCTCTTCCCCACATCTGACACCCCCTCACTACTATCTTCCTCCTTCCAGGTCTCCTCTCCAGAGCCGGTCCCACCACCCACCTCCTCCTCCAAGCCAGATTCCTAGACATCATCTTGGGCTTGTCTCTCCCTCACAGCCCCCACCCCAGGACCCCCAGACATCCCCTTCCCCACACCCACAGGGCCTTTGATGACGCATCCATCATCACTTGACCTCCCAGAAAAGTTCTGTTCTTCCATCGTGTGGCAGGAGCTATTAATCCCACTCCATTTCCCACACGTAGCATGTGCCGCTCAGTGTTGGGCGCATGTAGACCGAGGCTCACCGTCGCCCAAATCTCCACTCACCAGGTTAGGAGGGAGGCTGGCGAGGTCAGGCTGCTGGCCAAGGGGGCAGAGCTCCCAGGGTAGGAGGCAGGACACAAACCTGGTCCGCTAAGAGAGAAGCTGCAGACCTGAGCGCAGCGCCCCGTGGACAGCCAGCGTGAGTGAAGGGTGGGCAGAGCTCCAAACTGGGGTGGCAGAGACAGGGGAAAGGGGGTGGAACTGTGGGCCTGTGAACCCCATACCCTGAGCCACCCTCCGTTGACTCAGGGTAAAAGCCAGTCCTCACCGTGACCCACAGAGCTCCACACTCTGACCCTCACCTCTCTGACCCCACCCCCACCTCCCACCCCCTTTACTCATCCTGCTTCTGCCACCCTGGCCTCAGTGTACCTCGAACATTCCCCAAAGAATCCTACCTCAGGGCCTTTGCACTACCAGGAAGGCTCCTCCCCAGGGCCCCATGTGGCTTATTTTCTGAAACAGTGCTCAAGGGACACTTCTGACCATTTCAGAGACCTGCACCTCCCTGCCCCCCACCCCATCCTGCCTCCCAGCATTATTTTTCTCCATGGTGCTTCCTCTGTGCGACAGATTCACCTTCCACCTATATTTTGTGAAATGTCCCTTCCTCCTCACCAGAAATGTTACCTGTCTTTCCCTACAGTGTCCCCATGCCTAGAACAGAACTGGCACACTGGGGACACAGGATAAGTGTTTACCCCATGCCTCGATGTGTCCTCCCCACGCCCACAGGAAGGGAAAGGGTGTCTTGGAAAGGCAGAGGACCCTGTGCATCAGAGCAGCGGGGCCTGTCCAGATGCAGGGCAGGGCCTTCCCCCAAAGGCCACACACCCCTGGGCGGGCCTCCACAGAGAGGGTCCTACAGCCATCAAAATTAAATTTATTTTCCAGGGAACATTGTTCTTGGCATTGAGAGGTGGACGGGCACAGGACATTTGGGGGCCTCCAGAACCAGGGGATGGGGACTTGGGGGCCGGTACCAAGGGACCCCCAAACTGACTCCCCAGGGGTGACTGGCRCCTGGGCATCTCCCGGAGCCCCGCCCCCGGCCCTTTACTTCTTCTTCTTCTTGCGGCCCCAGTGCTGGCGGCTCGCTTTCCCCCAGCCGCCGTCTTCCCTCCGGCTCTGCCAGCTGGGCATGGGRGCCTCCAGCTCGTTGGGGCGGCCACCCCGGTCCGGCATTTCACCCATAAGCACCTAAGAATCGATCAGACTTGACTTTCAGAGGAAAAAAATAGAAATTGTGGACAAGGGGTCCAGAGAGCAACGGAACAGCATGAGATTCAAGAAGGAAGGGAGGGGCTGGGGCTGGGGCTYGGCGGTAGAGCGCCCGCCTCGTACCTGTGAGGCACTGGGTTCCATCCTCAGCACCACATGAAAACAAACACATAAAATAGAGATATTGTGTCTGTGTCCGTCTAAACTAAAAAATAAAAATAAAAGAAGGAAGGCAGATGGTGACTGTTTGGGTAGTGGCTGGGGAGAAGGGGACCAGACTGATGGAAGAGGAGAGCATGGAGCTTTTAAACTGGCCTCAAAGGTCATCAGCAAGTGGTGGAGCGTGGGGGTGTACACTGAAATCTGGAGCTCAGGAGGCTGAGGCAGGAGGATCACGAGTTCAAAGCCAGCCTCAGCAAAAAGTAATGTGCTAAGCAACTGAGAGAGACCCTGTCTCTAAATAAAATACAAAATAGGGCTGGGGATGTGGCTCAGTGGTTGAGCGCCCCTGAGTTCAATCCCTGGTACCAAGAAAAAAAAATCCATTATTTGCACGCTGCAAGTTTAAGACTACTTCAGAGGGGCTGAGGCTCGGGCTCAGTGGTAGAGCACKTGCCTGGCATGTGTGAGGCACTGGGTTTGATCCTCAACATTATATAAATAAATAAATAAAGGTCTATTGACAACTTAAAAAATATTTAAAGACAACTTTAGAGAGGTATAAGGCTAAATTCTCAACCTCTTAAACAGAGTCTATTTGTTTTTAAAAACGTTAAGCTGGTGGGTGGGGTGATGCACACCTGGAATCACAGTGACTTTGGGAGGCTGAGGCAGGAGGATCAAAAGTTTGAGGTCAGCCTCAACYACTTAGTGAGACCCTGTCTGAAGATAATGGGAGTGTAACGCTCAGGCAGAAATCCCCTAGGTTTCATCCCCAGTCTTGGGGGAGTGGCGGGGGTGGGGTGGGGTGGTAAGCCAGTTGCGTGTTGGCACACACCTATAATCCCAGCAACTCAGGAGGCTGAGATAGGAGGAAGAATGCCAAGTCTGAGGCCAGCTTCAGCAATTTAGTGAGACTGTCTCAAGATAAAATATAAAAAAGGACTAGAGATTTAGCTCAGTGATAGAGCCTGTGGGTTCAATCCCAAACAATGAAAAAAAAAAAGAAGAAGAAGAAGAAGAAGAAGAAGTTAAAAACTCATAGACAAGGTAAGGTACTGGGGATAGAGTTAAACCGAAGTTGGGCAGTAGCTCAGTAAACAGCTGGACTTTGTTTCAGAGCACTAGAGAGCCACAGTACGGTTTTGAGCTGGGAAAGTCCATGATCAGATTTTTGAGTTTTAAGGTCCTTCTAGCTGCCATGTGAAGGGGGGTTGCTTAGAGGTGGCYAGTCCAGAGGCCAAGGACCAGGGAGCGAGAGGTCAGGTGTGGAGAGGGCAAAGGCTGAAAGGCCAATTTGAAGGCCAGGGATGTCAGAGACCTTCCCCACCCAGGTGCCCACCTTGTTGATGGCACAGCTGGTCCCCTGGCGGGCAGCCTTGCTAGTTGCTGGGACCAGGCGAGAAAGGTCAGCTCGGGCAGCCAGAACATGTGCGATGGAGATGTCTGATTCTGGGCTCAAAACCTCTCGAATTGGCATCAACACTGCCTTCATGGCCTTTCCTTGGGCCTGGATGGGCAGGGAACAGGGAGAAGGTGTCCAAGAGCCTTCCCTGGGTGGGATGYCATCTTGGAAGTGTCCCTTTCCCTCTAAGGCCTCTGCATGCTTTGTATGTGGTTCATGCACTGGACACTTGGTCCAGAACCCGCCCCCAAGTCCGCCCTCACTGCCCTTCAGGTAACCTGTCTGGGCTGTAAATTCCCTAGTGTAATAGTATTAAGAAATGGCGTAATCGTTAAGAAGTCGAGTCTAGGGGAGTCATAAGGTCACAGAGGCACCACCCTTAGGARTGGTTAATGCAGTCCAGTGGGAGTAGGTTAGGCCTCGCTGCACTGGACTAGTTACCATGAGAGCTCACTTTATAACAAGTGAGTTACCCCATGTTTTGTTCTTTTCTACATGTGCCTGATTGCCACTATTATAGGCACCCCCACTCTGTGATGCCACACAGCATGGGCCCTGACCATWTTTGATTGCCCAAACTTGAACYTTTCAGCCTGTAAAACCATAWGTGAAAATAAACCTCCTTGTAAAGTACCCAGTCACAGGTACTTTGTCATGGCAACACGAAACAGACTAAGATAGCATCACTGCCCACACCTCTCTCCAAAGGGGATACTTCTGAAGACACTCCCAGCTCAGAGCTGGGAATTCTAGAATTCCCTGAAGGCTTGAGATTCTAGAAGCCCCAGATCTTACAAGATTCTAAAATGGTCTGGGCCTCAGAACTTCCAAGAGGATATTATTCCTGGCCCTCATTCCTCCACCTCACAGTTGTGGCCCCCACAACTAGGCCCCCTGCTCCTTCCAGTGTCCTRTGCCCACACCTTTGCCCGATCACTCCAGTGGAAAGCAGATGTCGTGAGGTCTAGGCGCTTGAGGAGGAGGCAGCGACGGCAGTAGTACTGRTCTGCCAAGCTTCCGGAGAGAGACTCCAACGCTTTCTGGAAGAAAAGGTCTGTCATACCCGGCCCCCTCTCACTCCCGTGTCTGGATGTCACCTATAACTGTATATAGTCTTACCCATTGGGGTGCGTTCAGTGGGTAGCTGAGGAGGGGCTGCATGGACCCTGGGGGCAGGGAAGGCAGCAGCTCTGAAATCTGATGGGAGAAGAGAGGTCAACTGAGGCMGAAACAGGATGAACCCCTCCATAGGCCCCAGTTCCCCTCGACCCCGAGGACCCAGGCCACAGAACCAAGAATGGTGGCCTCAGTTCTAAAACACAGCTATGTGATTGGGATACTCCCGCTAGGGCTAGGGCTCCTTTTGGAAAGAAGAGCCAAGGAAGACGGGGTGGCTCCGGTCTCTACCTTGGCATGTAGCTCCCGCAGTATCTGGCTGGCTTGAGTCCCTGGCATGGGTCTGGGCAGCCCCAGGGCTTGCAGGGTAAGGACCAGTTCCTGGACCGTGCCAGCTTCCTCTTCTGCCCGGTCCCCAAGGGRCGTCACTGAGCTGGAGTCCAGCAGGGGGCGCAAGCACAAGAGGCGGGCAGCCTGGAGCTCAGAGCAGAGAAAGCCTGGAAACAGGAAAGGGATCCGTGCAGGTGCAGCGGAGGTGGTCTGTGCCCCGCCACCTTCCAGCCCTGCCCACCTGGAACACTGGCTCCGCCTCCAGAAGAAGCTTCACCCACTAGAGGCCGGGTGTCCCCCGATTTCGACTCCCGCCCACTTCAAAACAAGATGCGCTGCTCCATCTAACTCAACCCACTGGCGCTTCCAGAGTCTTCCGTCAAAATTCTAGCCCTGCCCACGTCGGGGCTCTCGGCCCGCCCCAGCGCTGACCCCACCCACTTCGGACCCTCTGGCCCGCCCTAAAATTCTGACCACGCCTCCCTGGGAACCCGGGCCCGCCCTCAATATTCCGAGCCCGCCCGCTCCGGAGCCCTAGCCTCGCCCACTCCCGCATCCCGGGGCCGCCGCGGCTCACGCAGCAGGCGCAGGCCGGCGCCGGGTTCCCGCAACGCGGCCTCGCGGCCTTCGCCGCAGAGCGCGCGATCCGGGCAGTGCAACGCCCGCAGCAGTCCCGCCAACTGCCGCAGGAATCCCTCGTCCGCGCCGGGGCCTGCAGGAGGAGGGAGGAGTCAGGGCGCGGCCGAGCCCGCGGCTCCCCGCCTCCCGCCCCGCGGCTCCGTCCGCACCGTTGCCGACGCTTAGCACTTCTGCACCCTCCTCTCGCGGCTCCTCCAGAGTGCCCAGTGTCACCAGCTCCGCTGCCAGCCGCGCGCACAGCGCCCTGAAGCCTGGGCATGAGGGGCCCCTTGATGCCACCTCCGGGAAGTCCCCATACCTGCGGCGGGGGGTGGGTCAGCGATTCCCTCTCCGTCAGAGTCCTGAGTTAAAACGCTCTCCTGTYCCCCAGCCACACCACACACCGCCTTACCCCAGAGCTCGCAGGTCCCGGGCCACTGCGGCCCCCTCCTGCGCTTCTGCCTCCGCCCCCTCCATGGAAAAGTCGCCTTGGTGCCGRACTCGCGCCCCCTTCCGGCCGGTGGCAGGCTCCGCCCCAGGAGCGCCGCGCGCACCGCCACCCGACMGCGCAGGGTGGCGGCCCCGGCCCGTCAGCCTCTTGTCGAGAAAGGACTTCAGCTCCAATTGGCGCAGAAGGAGGCAGAACCCGCCCCCAAGTCCGCCCTCACCGCCCTTCARGTAACCTGTCAGGGCTGTAAATTCCAGAGCGTTGGCTCAGGATCCCAGCTRTGGCTACAAGCTAGTAAGTGTCTCTACTGTGGCTACATAAAAGCAGTTTGGGCCTCCTTTTTCTCAGTCTCCCTTGGTGGCCTTTTGATCTTAATGCACCCCAGTCCAGATTTTTCACACTTCACACAACTCCCGTCTCAAATCCAGAACCTTGCTTCCTCCTCTTCCTTATGAATGAAGTCAAAGATCTAGCCATTTCAGCTCACCTCTCACACCCGCTCCCCCACCTAGGCCCTCCTCAGCTATCCCAATGTGCCCTTAGGCCCTCAACCCCCACTTCTCTGGGCCTTTGAATGATGGAGCTGGGGCAATCTATGGCCTTCGTGAATAAGAGATTGCACCCAAGGAGGCAGGCAGACAGGATTAGGGTTTGACTCTGCCCCTCACCAGTTCCTGCCAAACTGCTTCCCATCTATATAATAGGGATAATAATAGTACCTACTCTTAAGAGTTGTTTATGAGAATTAATTAGTCCTTATGTAAAAAGCACATGAGGGTACTCAATTAAGAATAACAACTATGGCATTGAGTAATTCAGTTGTGCTACTAGGCTAAGTATCTTATCCCCGTTTTACATAGAAGATTCAGAGAATGTAAGTTACTTGGTGAATTTATGGTGGGTGCCAAGACTCAAAGATCTAATTCCAGATTCCATGCTTTTAAAACCCTGAGCCTGTTATTGCTGCTGATGATTTTGTTCCTATCGTTAAACATCATAGTTCCAGTTCTTATTTCTGATTGTCCTCCTTCTCTGGAAGTAGATGTGAGTTGGGAGCCCCAGGATAGAACAAGGGTCAGAACTGGTCCCTGCAGAGCCCTGCCTACCCCAAGGCAGGGCACTTAGGGGAGACATCTGTTGCACTAAATAAAACATTAAAAATTGCCCAGCCCCAAAACTTGGACTTCTATATAACCTTGATTCTTGTTTATTTCTTGGAAATTGAATCCAGGGCCTTGAATGTACTAAGCACGCTCTCTAGTGCTGAGCTACATCCCCAGGTATGATTCTTTTTTTTTTTAAATATCAAACTCAGTATATAATCTGTGGACTCGACTTTCAAAATAGGTCCAGTGCCCTCCCCTTGGTCCTACCCACCATGGTCCCTCCCTGGACCATTACAGCAGCCTCCACTGTCACCCTGCCTCCCCCAAGTACCTGTTACCCAGAGGGGGCCTGTGAACCTGAGTCAGGTCTCATCCCACCCATGCTTGAAGTTTTCTTGTGGTTCCATCTGACTCAGGATAAAAAAAAAAAAATCCATACAATGACCTGCAAGATCTGCCCTGTCCCTTCCCTCTCCTCCCCTCTAGATGCTAAAACCTCCCTTCATGTTCCTCAGACTTACCAGGCACCTCTTAGCTCAGACCTTGCACTGGCTTTTCCTCTGAACCAGACCACCTAACTTCCTCCAGGGCTGTATTTGAATGCCAGTTCCTGAATAAGGCCTTACTTTTCCACTCYAGCTAAAATCTTCTGTCCCCCATGCTTCTTCCCCACCCTGCACTGGGGATTGAACCTGGGGTGCTCTCCCACTGAGCTACATCCCCAGCCCTTTTTGATTCTGAGACAGGATCTTGCTAAGTTGCCTAGGCTGGCCTGGAATTTATGATTCTCCTCCCTCAGCCTCCTGAAATCACTGGTATTAACAGGTGTGCACCACCCCACCCATCTCTTCCTTATATTCTAATAGATTAGGTCTATTATTGTCTCCCCACTACAAAGTCATAAGCTCCAGTGGGAAGGGATTATTGCCTGTTCCAGCTGCTTTATACGAAATAGGTGCATGATATATGGGGTGCCCAATGAATGTACTTGAATGACRGAATGAGACTCTGCTGGACTTCTCTTGGGACTAAAGGATGTGGAGGGGAAGGGACAACTGAGGCAGGAGACTGGTATGGCAATTCAGGAACAGGAGTGGGTGGGGCGCGCCAATGCAAATAAAAAACTCAGGCTGAGACTTTGTCACAGACGTTTCTTGGAGCAGATCTCATGCCCCCTCCCCCGATGACAAGGCTGGGTCTTGGGCCCCCATCCTCCCCCCCACTTCAGCCTGCACTGACACTAACAATGTTGAGGTCACAGACTGGCTTGGAATCAAAATCAGGAAGATAAATGTTGGGGTGCCTCCCCCAAGCCTGGGGGCCAAGCATCCAATCTGAGGGGCAAGCAGCTGGGAAATTGGGCCTGGGTGCTCCAGGGTGTAAGGTCTTCCTGGCTCCCAGGGTCAGCCCTCCATGCACCCCTGATTTTGGGGTGATGAAGGGTAATCATGGATCAGAGGTGGGTATCAGCAGGGAACAGGACTGGGAGACCTGGGAGAGGCGGTGCTGGGAGGTGGGGGCTGGGCTCCCAGCCCCCACTGCTTCATCCAAAAATCCCACAGCACCATACAGCACTCTAGTCTCCTGTCCCACCCCTCCCCAAAACGAGGTAGGTTAAGAATGGAGCTTCCCCCCGCCCACCATGGAAGGGGGGAGACCGAGGCACAGAGAGGGGGATGGGGACCCAGGCTGCCCCAGCCCCCAGTCCCTCCGCCCTCAGCTCTGGTGGGTCTGACAGTGATGAGAGCTGGGCAGAGTGGGGATGGGAGGGACACCCCCCCTTTTCTCTCACCCATCCCAGGGTCTGGTTGGGAGAGCTGAAGCTCACAGGTTCCAGATACAATAAATAGTTAATAATTTAAAGGAAGTGACAGTAGGATCTATCCCTTGAACCCCCACAAGGCCATCCAAGTCTGGGTAATAAAGAAAATGCACATTTCCAGATGCTTGAGGCCAGATGCAGGTCCAAGCCTGCAAAACATGGGACTGTCTTGTTCTAAGGCCTCGGTTCCATCATACAGGACAACAGATCTTGAGGTACACTTGGACACCCGGCTCTACGCAAGGCAGAGAGACTGTGGCATCCCCCTTCCCTGTAAGGGGACAGGCCATGAAACAGGCTTGTGTTTTCCAGAACACAYCCCAACTCTAAGATGGAAAAGGAGGCTCTCAGAAGGAGGGGCCTAGACCAGGGCTGGGCTGAAGGAGGTCCTCCGAGGATGGAGATCACAAGGGTCCCAGCAGAACCACAGTTCACCCCAAAGGCGCCTTTGTGCAAGTGAGAGAAAGGCAGGCCTTCCTCTGAGAGCCCGTCTCAGCCAGCAGGCTTCAGTGTGGACTGCAGCCCCAGCACGCCACTGCAGCTGGGCGCTTTGCTTAGGGACGAATCTGCACCATCCTCTGTGGTGACCCTGGGCCCTGGAGGTGGGGATGGGGAGCTCCTGGGGAGCCCTGGATCTGGGCATCTGAGTTCAAGGTGATGAACTTCAGGATAAGGGCGATTCTGAGGATTGCTAGGGTACTGGGCTGGGGTCCTGGAAACCAGAATTCCAAAGTCCAGGAGCTTGGGGTCTCAGGGGCCTGTGCACAGCAGGATTCACAGGGCAACAGTTCCGAGTCAAGCCCAGGGAATCAGGCATAGAGGCATCTTGGGACTTCATCAGGTTAGACAAGTTTGAGTCCAAGAACTCTGGTGTCCGAGGGTGCTAGGGTTCTGGGTCATCTTGGATCTGAGTGACTGTGGTATGGAAGGACCAAGGTCTTGAATTAGGAACAATCCCAATGTCGTCAGGGCCCAAGCCCTGCATCTGACGGTCAATGGCACCTTGAAGTCTGGGATCCAGTGCTCTTAAAGCACCCTGGGGTCACTCAGGAGCTGGAGGCCAAGGGTTGAGGTCTGGATTGCCATCCCATCTTCTAGGAGCTGGACTTCCACCTGGCCTTTAGGTGACCAGGGATCTGTGGATAGAAGGAAGCCAAGGATTCTAGGGCATTTTGGGTCTCAACGTTCAGGTTCGAGGTGGACTGAAAGAGGGCTTTTTGAAGATTTGAGACAGTGTCTTTGGGCCCTGAGGTACTGGTGGCCTTCAGTGAAACGCTGGGAATATCACACACCTCAGAGTTCATATATGAGATTCAAAGCCCCCAAGAACACTGGTTTGGGGGGTGGGTGACCCTACAAAGGTCTTCAATTCCTTATCTGCACAGCATCTTGGTGACTGGTACCTGTGAAGTTCTGGGACAGGCCTCCTAAATCATTTTGGTCAGAGAACATCTCATGTTTGTGCATATCCAAGAACTCAACGCATCTTAAGTCTCCAGTCCTAGGACATCTGGGGTCACGTGTACAAGTTAGATCTTGGTGTCCGGGATCAAAGGCCAGGTCTGTGGGGCACTCAGTAATGAGTAGACTTGAGGCCAGCATCTGCTGATTCCAGGGTTTGATGTCTCAGGGCTCCTGGGACTATAAGAACATCTCAGATATGGAGTACCAGGTCCCATATGAACATTCAGGGACCATTTGGGGGTGATTTGGGGACCTGTGGTCTTAAGATCTGGGAGTAACTGGATACAGGCAGGAACAAGTATTGGCAACTCCTAATTATGGGGCTATAATCTGAGGGTTATGGTGCCAGTGTGAAGGGGGTCTGAGTTGGTCAAATRCATAGGGAGTCAGGGCTCAAGGTCCCTACATCTCTCAAAGATCTGTGTGCTTCCCAAGCCCTCTGAAATGCAGTCCGGGGAGTAGCGAGTGTCCTCAGTAGGGAAGAAGGATGGAGAATCCAGAACTCAGGCCTGGGTGCTCTTGACAGATATCCCAATGAAACTAGGCCTGGGGCTGCTCAGTCATCGATCTAGGGTCCAGATTCCAGGTCTGGGATTTCTCAGTCCAAACTCAAGCTTCAAGTTCCAAATGTGCCTAGGTTTGGGTTTTAGATTCGAACCA